ACTATTGTTATATTAGGAGTGGAATGTGGAGTGTGTTTAGTCTAGGGTTTTGTGTGGTGGTTATATAGAAGAGGGGTATGTAATGTTACCTTACATGGGGATGTCCAAATCATAGGGAGATGCAAGTTGAGGCTTTGCTAAGGGTATGTTCCTTGTTTAGAGTAGGTGTGGGTAATGTGGTAGACAGGTGTAGGTATTTATTGCTACTCTTTGCCTCACCTATTAGTTGGGAAATGGCAATGCATGCCCTACTTCCTCCTCCAAAAATTTAAATCAATAATACAAAACAACACATCAACAGTAAAGCTCCCTATCTACGGTGGGCACATGTTAATATGTCAACTGCTTATGTGACATGCACACATTGTGATGTATTTTTTTGAACATATTAACATCACCAATGTGTGCATGCCACATAAGCGGTTGACATATTAACATGTGTCCACCGTGGGTAGGGAAACATTACTGTTAGTGAACAAAACAACCTCTTATATGCATATATATATATGTCGGATGTATTCATTTTTTATGGTTTCATATATCATTATCTATAATAAATTATGTAGCAATAGAAGTTTTATTATGAATGTTATATTGATACATTTGAATTTTGAATAGGGAAATAGTGATGATGTAAGTGAATATGTACTATGTAGTGTGATTTATACACAAAACAGAGAGCATGCTCTCATTTATAAAAGGTACTTTCTCTAGTGAAAGATTATTTATTATTATTATTATTATTATTATTATTATTATTATTATTATTATTATTATTATTATTATTATTATTATTATTATTATATCTCAAATCCAAGCGCACTTTTTAGAAAGAAAAAAAAAATGTTAGGAAGTTCATAGAGAGCAAGATGCATAGGCACCTCATAGTTGCACTTGTCTGTTGTTAGGCACCTCATTTTGCACATTAATTATCTGTTGTCATACACATCATTTTGCACATTAAATATATATTTTGGGAACTCATAAAAACCTTCCTTCAAATAAAGCCCTATGTGACCCAAATATTTAAAACATTTTTAATTGTTTGGCAATTAGTTGATAACTGATTGTATTAGCAGATAACTGATAGAAAATGATAAAATTTCGACGAAAAATTCTAACGTAAATATATTTTAATGGATATTTCAATTATGTTATTTCCGTTGAAATTTTTCAATGCATTGTAACGAAAATTTTAACAATACTTCTACAGTAGAATGAATTTTCCGGTGAAATTTTCATTGGTTTTTTACGATTCAAACGGTTGAAATATAGATGGAAATAAAAATTCTAACGAAAATTGCATATTCCATTGGAAAATTCTTACAGTAATAGTGTAGGAAAAATCGTCATCGTAATCATCAAATTCCATCAAAATTTCCATTGAAAAATTCATTTCAACGGAATATTTTCATCGAAAGTGTTGTTGGAATCACTCCAACAGAGACAATACTATTGGGATATAAGTCAGAATTTCCATTGAAATATATGATATTATTTTTTTCCGTATATTATTATTATTATTATTATTATTATTATTATTATTATTATTATTATTATATTATATTATATATATATATAATGAGGGGTTATCCCATTAATGCTAAAATTTTTTGTTTCCCGTTCTTTTTTGGAGGAGTTAATTATGACAAAAGAATTGTATTGCTCTTCTCCAATAAAGTATAAAAATCCAACTAAAATTCATTAATACAACGATTTAATTATAAATGTTATATATACTATTACATAAAATTATATTTTAATTAAAAATTTTATATATAATATTATTTATTTTTGATAACATGTGTAGGTAGACATGATTAATACTAGTTCTTGGTAATACGTGGATGTGTAGATTATTATCCAATTAAAGTGTGGTCATGGATGCCCCCTCATTTATGTGGTAAATTATTTTAGCATCATCTGAATCTGTCAAATTGATTTATAATTTTATACCAAAATTGTTCAACTAAATACATATCCAAAATAGTAGGTTGCGGCTGACTTTAAAGAAAAGGCAATCATGAGATGACACGGTGATCTAAAACTTGTGGAAAACACTATCTGAAAGTGAAACCCAATAGTTTATAATAATGAAAAATCGAAAATAAACTAGAACTATTTATCTCATATTATATATTATATATATAATATATAATTATGTATGCATTATATTATATTTAATATGTCTAAAAACTATGTTTTATACTTTCATTTTATGTAAGCACATCGTTTTAACTTTTATATATGTCAAATTTTGATAATAGAGGCATTAGGGGTGCGGGCCCACACTGTGAAGCGCATCATAAGAGAGTTAGCCTAGTTGCATCATAGTGAAGTTTCATCCCAAATTCAGTTGGTGATGGGAGGAGTAGCCCACTAGGCTTGTAAACTAGACTCATTTACCCTATTAAATCAATGTTGGACGACACACAGGTGACAACACGCACCCCACTTATTGTGACTAAGTCATCAGTCCAAACCTACAACCAGGCCGGGTACATTTTTCTAAATCATCGCAGGTCTCCAACTAGTCCCGCTCTGATATCATGTCAAATTTTGATAATCGGAGCATCAAGAGTGCGGTCCCACATTAAAACGCACCATAAGAGGGTGAACCTAGTTGCACCATAGTGAAGTTCCATCCCAAAATCAATTGGTGATGGGATGAGTAATCCACTAGGCTTATAAAGTAGTCTCATTTACTTTATCAAATCAATGTGAGACAACTCACAAGTGACATTCTAAACATTATAAATATAATTTCATGTATATAATTCTAGGTTACGCATTTGTCTAACAATTTTAAGAAGCCATTTACTATGTGACAGCATGCAGTTGACACTTTTTTTTTCTTTCAAAAGAGGGATCAATACTGGTTCCCCAATTCTCCTGGGTGACTCGAACTCGGGACATGGTACACGCGAGCGAAGGTACGCGCCACTGCAGCATGCAGTTGACACTTGACACAGGTATATAGAAACAAGGCTTATTTTTAACGTTATATACTCATGTAGTTAGTATAAGTTAGATGATACAAGGTTAAAATACCTGACAGAATGGTACCATAACGGGCCGTAACGTTTCCCATGTATTTATTTTAAAGAAAACGTAGAGTAAAATCATCAACTTTTGACCAACCGGAGGTTTTGAATATGTAATATTTAATATATTAATCACATACACCATCAGAACGGTTGAAACTATGAATAAATGTCTCATTTGAATAACCATCTTAATCATGATATTGACTCATATATTATATTAAATATAAAAAAATGGTTGAAATTGTATCAATTTACAGCCTAAATTTTATTCTTTCTTACAATTTTAACTTATTCTCATTTTAAGACTCATATTTTTATTTAACATTTTAATGGAAGACCAAACTAACTTTACATTCGACATAAACATGTGAACCATAATATTATGTTTGATGATATATATTTTACATATTTATGTAAAAAATATTAACTACATTTAACAATTAACTTAAATAAGGAAATTAATCGATATAAATTATAATTACGCAAAAATCTAATAAATTTTATTCTAATTTTTTTCAAGAGAATATAAATATTATTTTATTAATAATCTAAATATGTAATAAAAATTATGAGTAAATTAAAATATGTAATAAATATGGAAATTTAAAAGTTAATTAATAAATTAAAAATTAAATTCAAAAATTATTGTTACTTTTATTACATATTTAGATTGTTAGTAAAAATAATTTTCAGTTATATATTTTTCAAATCCACTTATCAATTTTTGAAAGTAATCTTTATTAAAATATTTTATAAATGTAATTTTCATAAATTCATTTTCTTATTAAGGTAATTTTACTAAATATACATATATATTATTTTTTTGATAGAAATTATAAAAAAAATAATATTTTTGTTCAAATAATTATATCATAAAATAAAGTTACTTGGTTCACATATTTATGTCAAGAAGTAAATATAATTGAGTCTTACATTGAGAAGTTAAATAATCAAGTGAGTCTTAAATTGAGAATAACCTAAAATGTAAATATTTTGTAAGAAACTGAGGGAAAACGGGTGCGGACCCACTAACATGAAGCGCACCATGTGAGGGAAAAGCTCATATGAAGCCCAAGTGGGGTTCCATCCCAAAACCAATTGGTGGAAGGAGGAGTAGCCCATTAGACTTGTGGGTCTATTTTCCATGTATGAACAATGTGGGACAACTCACAAGTGATATTCTAACACGCCCCTCACTTGTGAGTCATTCGGAAGCCCAAGCCCAACTGGTTGGGTGCCTCAAGCCTACTAGAAGCAGACTCCCATAAACGGGTACGTGGAGGAGTAGCCCATTAGACTTGTGGGTCTATTTTCCATGTATGAACGATGTGGGACAACTCACAAGTGATATAAACGGGTACGTCATCGCACGGTCCCAATAGAACCGGTTCCGATACAATGTAAGAAACTGGGGGAAAACGGGTGCGGACTCACTAACATGCCCAAGACCAACTGTTTGGGTGCCTCAAGCCTATTAGAAGCAGACTCCCATAAACGAGTACGTGGAGGAGTAGCCCATTAGACTTGTGGGTCTATTTTCCATGTATGAACGATGTGGGATAACTCACATAAACGGGTACGTGGAGGAGTAGCCCATTAGACTTGTGGGTCTATTTTCCATGTATGAACGATGTGGGACAACTCACAAGTGATATAAACGGGTATGTCATCGCACGGTCCCAATAGAACCGGCTCTGATACAATGTATTGTGGGTCTATTTTCTATGTATGAACGATGTAGGACAACTCACAAGTGATATAAATGGGTACGTCATCGCACGGTCCCAATAGAACCGGCTCTGATACAATGTAAGAAACTGAGAGAAAACGGGTGTGGACCCACTAACATGCCCAAGCCCAACTGGTTGGGTGCCTCAAGCCTACAAGAAGCAGACTCCCATAAACGGGTACGTGGAGGAGTAGCCCGTTAGACTTGTGGGTCTATTTTCCATGTATATAGAACCGGCTCTGATACAATATAAGAAACTGGTGGAAAACGGGTGCGGACCCACTAACATGAAGCGCACCATGAGAGGAAAAAACCCATATGAAGCCTAAGTGGGGTTCCATCCCAAAACCAATTGGTGGAAGGAGGAGTAGCCCATTAGACTTATAAGGTGGGTCTATTTTTTATATATGAACGATGTAGGACAACTCACAAGTGATATTATAACATATTTTATTGTGAAAAAAAATAAAAATCAGACTTAAATTAATACAATATCAAAAAGCTGGATTTTGTAATGAATTTTCCCCAAAAAATAGAGCATTAGTATTAGTATTTCTTGTTACGCGTATATAAATTACATATAAAAATTGTCGCAATCTAAGAAAATAAAATAAAATAAACAAGCACATCATTGTATATTATAAACTACATTTTTATTATTATAAATATACAATTTTATTCAAAAAAAAACATATGATAGATTAACAACATATTAGTCTTCTATTGATCTATATATCAAGCTATCTTAAAAAAATTGCTTGCTTTTCTTTCACGATTAACTCTATTGAATTTTGTTCAATAATTAATATTTTGCAAGATAATCAAAATCTATTGGCAAAAGGCTGTTCAACTCAAATTATTGGCCACCCGCATTTAAGACTCGTCACTATCAAATAGAGAGCAACTTGAAGCAATTACGTACCTTCAATGTGGAAATTTGAAAGTATAAATATCTATTCAATTATGTTATGTATATATAGTGTAATATTACTTCAATTTAAAAAATACATATACAGTAAAATGGCAAGTATGGTTGTGAAGTGTTATACGTGTCATATTTATAATTTATACGTGTCCCAACCAAGGTTAATGATGAGAGATTCTACTGTCCTGTTATGGAACCATTCCGTTGGAGTTTGGAACCATTAGATCAACTATTCACGACGGTTACATGATGATCTAACAGTTACAGATCCTGACGGAATGGTTCTGTAACGGGACTGTAGCTTTTCTCGTTAATATTACAAATTCCGATGGAATGATTTTATAATGGGATTGTAGCATTTTCTGTTAATAATATTGCCTTTCCCAAAACACATGCTTTCATTTATTCGCAAATACAGACTCTTTAGGTGTCAGAAAATAATGTAGCTTGTGGAGAGCGACTCATCTTCATCACTCTTTGGCTTCCTATCACAACTTTTATATTTTATCCGTTCCTTCCATAGTTCCAGTAACTAAACACGTTTTTTACTTTACTAAACACGTTTTTTTTTTTTTATATATATATATATTTTTTTTTACTGGATCATTATTTCACTGGTAACTGGACCATATGTAACGTTACTTGGCCCACATTGTTTACTTTGTAGAAGTCCGTGCACTAGTAGTAATAAATAACACTAAACAAAGAAAAAGGAAAAATAAAATAAAATGAAATGCACTCCCCTGGATGCATATATGAACACACGAGACCAGTAGAGCTATAAACGAGTCGAGCTCAAATATACTCAAGCCCTTATTATCAGTCGAACATTTTTTTTTTTTTCACTATATCAAGGCCTCTAAAATTTCCTTCCTATCTATAGAGTCCACAACTAAACCCCCATTTTCAGTATCTATCTCTTCCCAATAGAGGTGTCATTTTCCAAACTTGTCTTAATTTCCTACACTTGAAGAAGATATGTTCAATTGTATGTGCCTCTTTCCCACAAGCCGGATTTTGTTAAATGTATAAGAAATAACTATCATTCAAGCCTCACCCACTCTCGTTCACTAAACAAGTCTTAAAACGAGCTCAAGCCCGGCTTTACTATTAAACGAGTCAAAGCAAGCTCAAGCCTTAACAAACCGAGCACATACGCGACTCATTCGTTACACGGCTCTAAAAACGGGACAAGCAAACACAAAAACAAATAAGGCTTAGAGATAGGGAGAGAGATTGTGATCGATAAGGAAAACACAAGTAAAGCATAAGATACAAAATATTTGGCTTTAATAGTAAGAGTCAACCGAAATGGCTTTAATAGTAAGAGTCAACCAAAACCTGCTTGTAAGGTTTAAACTCTGTTTACTTACATCCAAACAAGAGCAATAATTATCCAAAATGAGTTTAAGCAGGATGAGTTTAGGTTCTAATCTCGAGCTACTTGTAAGGGAAATTAATTTCCATTCCCCAATTCTAGTGCGACCCACCAGAGTCATTGAATGTCTGATCAAAAGGAGTTGGCAAGTCGGCAAAACTCGACGGATGATCATATTTACATGCAGGTCCAAACTTGCAAATGCCATACCGGTGATAGTGTGTACAGATGGGCTGATCCTGCAATTATCAAGAGTCGGATGAGAACATAATTTGGGCTGCATCAAGTGCTTTTCGGACCCCTCAACCACATCATTACATTCACTGAAGATATTAATTATATAATTGCCAACTGTAGTAGTAGTGGGTAGAAAAAATTTTTAGAAAAAAAAAGGAAGAAAAACTCAGAATACAAATAAGCATATACAGTTTAATTTATAATAGATAGTCCGCAAAAACCATGTAATAACAGTAAATGGTACTGTAAAAACCAAACTTACAGGTCTAAGAGGCAAGCCTTTGTCGTTGAGAGTACATGAGTTCGACCTCGGTTTTGGTATACGAGTCTTTGGGTGATGAAATTTGCAACTAGACTTGAACTTACAGTCTCCAGTTTTCATGAAGAAACTGCACTCGAGTTCGCCAGGGCGTTCCGGGTATTCATCAAGCACCTTATCATGCTGATGTTGCATAGGAAAGCTTATCTCCGTTGGTAGATTGCTCATGGCAAATGCTGGGGGTGTGGGTAAGCTCCTCTGAGGTGTGTAGGTTGGGGCCTCCAACATATTAGAAAAGAACAAAATCGAGCAGGTAAGACAGAGAACAGGTGTGGTTAAAGACATCAATGCATTACCACATATACATGGAAAAATGACCTTTTGTTTTCTTTGTTTTCCTGTTTCAATCGATAATTCTACATCTTCAATCGGAAATTTAACCAACGTTTATAACAATGACCTATTTTAACATTCAAAAATCATCTGGGTAATGATACCTATTCATGGAATTATTTCCTTAAATAGCATCAAAATGACACTAATTATGACACTTTTTTTAGAATTCTGGTTTCCGTTTATTCATAAAGCATCAGTATGCCAAGACTCATCAGATTGCACATTTTATGATTGAGTTTCACCCACTACCATTTTCTAGGCATTAACAATTTGACAAAATCTTGATGGAAGTGATTGACAGAAAAAAGCAACAAAATGTTTTTAATATTCAACTCATTCATCAAAGCTATGTTAGGCACGAGCCTAAGCTAGTCAGAAACTGAGATATGATGTCAATACATTCCTAAAGGATATTCCAAAGTTTCATAGACACTGACTACCTTTAGTCATAAAAATGTAGATACATCAGATAAGAGAAATATTTTGACAGACAAAACAAGTCAAAGAAATGATCACTGTACAAAATGTACAGCTGATTTTCAGCATTCTGATAGTAGTAAGTATATGTATAATGTTTGGGATAGGATGAGCTACTGGCTAAGCAACATAACGAAATTTGTGGCCCAAGCACTCCCTTTTTTTTTAGCAGAGTAATTTGATACTTTGGTTGGTCACATCACTTTTATGCAAACTAACTGCTGGATAATTAAACCTTCAAAATAAAGCGTAATACTTGATTAAAGATACAACACACATGTCTTAGTATAGACCTAAAGTAAGAGAACAACTACAGGGACTTATGTTACGCCTGATCCCTAGCCAAGAATTTTGGTAACTATCAGCAATAATATTTCACAAAAAAAAAATAAAAAAATAAAAAAAAACTAAACTATATAAGATAGCAAAACATCTGAGATTCACATTATATCATCAGCAAAATTAAGTACTGGCCACTTCATAAGTTCTTTGTTGGTTGTATGTGAAGTACAATATAGTAATTGGTTTCACAACAATCTGGACACTTCATAAGCAACTTCCAATTGCCTGCCACTAAGGCATTTCCTTCCCCAATCCCCTTTAGGAAAATAGAAAGTAGGAAAAAAGAATCCCAAAAATCCAACACTAGAAGGAAAGATAATATTTGCAAACACACTAGCATAATGCATCCAATACTTTTGTCCTTCCTAAGCTCCTAAGTTCTCTCACATTGTTCTATGACTTCTAAACTTTTATGACGATTCACCAATGACTTCTCTTATGGCTCTAAGCTATCCTAACACCAAGCTATCCCTCCACCACCACAACAACCGCTAGAAAAAAAGGAAAAAGGAAAAAAAAAAAAAAAAAATGCAGAGGAGAGGAGAGACACCAAATGGGAGAAAAGAAACCAAGTAGCCAAAACATGCATATCGCATACAAGCAGGATAGCAGAGAGGAGAACCCGGATTAAATCGACATGCAACCTTTACTGTCATTGGAGTATAAAATAAGGAAAGGTGGAAATTTCAGAACTGCATAACACACAGAGGAAAATGCAAGAATAATATGACAAGTGATGGTGCTTAATAAGAACAATTACCTGGTAACCGTTCCACTCTGCATCTGGAGATGGAGCAACCTGGCCTCCAGAGAACACTGCAGGTGTGAAAGATGAAGCCTCATTGATTGCCCTTGGTGAAGACCATGAAGACATAGACGAAGAGGAAACAAGTTGTGAGGGAATAGATCCCGCGTTGCTGTATCCAGAGGATGAATCAGTTCCAACCGCTGTGGTAGGTTCAGGATGATGAAACCTGCAGTTTGAACCATATTTGCAGCTTCCATTGCGCATGTAGAAGGGACACTCTTTTTCTCCCTGGAAAAAGCAACCATTTGTAATTAGGACATAAAGATAGACTTGTGACAGTAAATTTTGAATTTCACGAGCTACTAAAATCTTTGCTTCCATGTTCTTTCAAGTGATATTAGGTACTTTCAGTTCAACAACGGAATATTGAGAACCGCTATATTGTTCAAATCATGATCAATTTGAATGGGTAATCAGCTTTTTATGTCCCTGAAATCAAGGCTCAACAAATGAACAGGTCCATTTATCTTTATCTTCTGATAACAAAGACATTCAATTATTTTCATTCATCATTTCTCATTATCTGTTATAAAAGAAAAATCTCAAATGCATCTAAACAAAGCTGAAATGAAAAACATATATCAACAATAAAAATTATGAACTCTATATAAAGGCTATACTGGTCGAATTGGCAGTCCTAAAAAGTTGAACTCGAGAATTTGAGTCTTGGAGCTGTTGCCTGAGCCATGCGAGAATCTACAGTTATTCCCATGTCTACATCCACCTGATGCCAGGTAATACTGCAGGGAAGATAAGTTGATTATTGCATCAGATGAGCATCAAAGGGTTGATAGTTATGCCATAATTCATAATTGGCATAATAACACATACTTGATTCATGTACAGAACAGATAAAACAAAGCCAACAATGAAAAATCATGTATTCTTAACGCTAGTAAAACTGCAATGACAAGAAAATAGATCAAGAATCAAGATAAGTGACAAGGGTTGGATACACAACATTACTGTGCAGGAACTTGTGAATGCCTCTCAGAATTGCATGCCAAACCAACATTCGCTATATGGGTTGCGTTTTGGGTAAAACAGAGAAAAGATTATAATTATATGACAGTATACCTTGCAGAGACTATATACCATTGAAAAGAAAATCAGAGGATGCACATCTACAAAGTGATAACAAAATCACATATAGAAGAGCTATTATAATTAGGAACCATAGTATAAGGGAATAATGACCTTGCATTCAGCTTGTCCTGCCCCTTGTCCTGCCCTGTCAAAATTATCTCCACCATACTTCATTCTCTCCTTAACGACCTGCAAAAATCAAATTCAATCTTTTAACAATAAATAGAGACCTAGTTCTATAAAGCATGCATAATCCACAAATGAATACAGACCTGGGTCTTTCTCCTAGGAGGGTGATTAAACTTGCAATTCAAACCAAATTTGCAAGACCCAGATTTCATATAATATGCACAATCCTCTGCATCAGGCCTCATAGGATAGCTAATCCTCCAATCGTTATCACTTCGATTATATCTCCCAAACTTTGTCGCAGCATCCCAGCACTTACCTTCTCCATTCCTTTCATTCTCCTCACTACCCCTCTCATTCTCCACAAACCGCAGTCTATTCTCATTTTGATCCTCAAGACTCTCAGTATATTCTCCACCCTTTTCTTCATGAAGATTATCAAGTTTCCACGTTCCTTCATTCTCCATAATATCCCACCTGTTCTCATTTTGAGCTTCAACTTCCTCAGCATTCGTTCCACCTTTTATCTCATGAAGATCATCAAGTTTCCATGTTCCCTCGTTCTCCATATAACCCCATCTATCCACATATACATCTTCATTCCTTTCCCCATTTGCTCCACCCTTTTCTTCGTGAAGATCGTCTAGTCTCACTGTACCCTCTCTCTCCAAATAACCCAACCCATCCCCACTTTCATCTTCGGCATTCCCTTCATTTTCTCCATCCATTTTTTCATGAAAATTTTCAATTTTCAGCATTCCCTCATTCTCCACATAACCCGATCCATCCCTATTCTCACCTTCAACACTAACCGAGTTTTCTCCATCCTTTCCTTCATGATGATTATCTAGCTTCAGTGTTCCATGACCCTCCATGCAACCCAACCCCTTCTTATCTTCATCTTCAACAGTCTCTCCAATTTTACCATCCTTTTCGCCATGAAGATCACCTAACTTCACTTCCACAGCATCCTTCCCTCCCTCCACAACAGCTTCTAATCTCTCACTCTCTGCCTCCATCTCAGCCTGCTGAATAGTCAGCTGGCAAAAATCTCTCTCCAGGGCACTCTGCAGTTCCAACTCTTCAGGGTCAGCAACGATTTCCACCACCACATCCGCCATCAACGCCGCCGGCGAACCACTCTCCCCCTGAGACGCGTTCAGGGAGGACTCGCCGTTCTGAATCACAACGGCCTGACCGCCGGCGATAGCGATCGGATCATGCGAGGTCGTATCGGGGACCAAAATCCCCAGTCCCAGCTTCTCGATCGGGGGTTTTCCAGGGGTCGGAGGTAGTAATTCAGCCATGGTGCTCGCTCCACATGCGAGGCCCAAATGAAACCCTAGCTTGAAGAGGATTCTTGCCCTTTCACTCCAATTTTGGCTAGCAAAAGATGAAAATATATGTCGAAATGGAAAGGTTAAAAAGCTCAAAAAGATACTGAGAATTGCAGAACTGTGGGAGGGGTGTGATGGTACTGTAACCCACACACAGTGCGGGCGAAGGGAAGTGTGAGTGGGGGGCGTTGGTGTATGTATTTGTAAAGAAAAAATTTATTATATAGTTTGTAGCCATGGAGGATAAATCATATAAATTAAAGCATGCAAAGAATATGAATTAGTATAAAATATTTTTGAATGTTTTTTTTTTTTCTAGAAGGATAGAAAATATTTTTGAATGTTAAAATTAAGAATTTTTTTTTATAATATATAATTTATATGTGAACTTCATTTATACATTTTAAAATTCTTGTTTAAAATTGAGAACATAAAAAATTGAAGTATTTCAAATATTATCAATAAATTATATTTTAAAAAAAAAATTACTCATATTTCATTATAATATATTATTTTGATTTCCAAATAACTGATGATAAACTTAAAAATGATGTCAAATATTATAAAGTAACATTTAAATGAACAATAAGACATGGTATTTTAAAGTTATAAAATATACTAATTATAAATTACCTCATTTTTTATTTTCTTATAATTTAAAATAATTATAATTTCCTCATGTAGGCTTTTAGGAAATATTTTAAAATTTATATTTTAATATCTATACTTATATAAAAAGGTATCATATTTACTAGAGTTAGTAATAAGAAAAGTCAAAGGTAATTAATACATTCTATTTTTATTAAGTATTTTATTTTATTTAATTCTTTTATCCCATATCATCTTTACAATACAACTTAGCATAATTTTTCTATTGTGATTAAAAACTAGATTTTATATTTAAAATCTTGTGAAATTATTATTATTATTATTATTATTTTTATAAAGCGCGTATTATTTGTTAAGAAATTGTAT